TTATTTTATATAGATTATACAACCCAATGCAAAACAGAGTTTCACATCGATCAGAATTATTACACCTCGTTGAGACTAAAACAAACACCACAATTTTGAAAAGGAAAAACAAACAAACACAAACCATGAAACCATGTTACATATAATAAAAATGAAGCTCCTCAAGCTGTTTTGTTTTTTTGTTATTTGTAGAATTCGATAACACAATATGAATAGGCATAGCATATGATTTCACAACGAAGAAACCCCGACTTAAGGGCAAGAGTTTCTATCTGTGAAAAGGACCTCTCTTTACCACCAGAGCATTGTGCCAACATAGACATGTCCATGGCAAACACTATATTAGAAGAAAAATCATTGATCTTAGGTTTTACCGGTGTAATCATCTCGACTATTATCACCTTTCCTCCTTCCGAAAGACTTTTCCAACAGTTTTTTAGAATTTTTACACAATCTTCATCGGTCCAATCATGTAGTATCCACTGTCATTTTATCCATTTTATTTCATAGTTATAATATGTTTGATCAAGAAATTATGTATATTTAGTAATAAAACTTTTTCATAATTATACATATACTTACTTTCATGAAAATAGCATCTCCTTTTGGAATTTCTGTAAACATATCTCCTGAAACATGCTCCACTCCTGTCAATAGATAGCTATTAAAACTAGAACTTTCAATACAAATTGTTCATTATATCAGTATGTGTTGTACCTGGATAAGAAGGAGCATGGGCTAAACCCGAGGTTAGATCAAAATTAATGCCCTTAATATGAGGATACTTGGAAATGATTAGACCTATAACGGTTCCAATTCCTCCTCCGACATCCACTAAAGTATTTACAGTTTCGAATCCCTTGTAAACTTCTAGAACTTTCTTCATGGTCATGGTAGAAACTTCTGACATTCCCTGGTTAAACTTCTGAGCAAATTGTTCATTCGAACCAGTGTATTCGAAAAGTCTCATGCCATGAGCAGATGTGAATGCATCTTTTCCATCTAATATCATATCTTTGAGATGTATCCTGTTAAAAAAATAAGAAGAATTTGTTCATCGCTAGAGGTGCTCTGATCTGTTAGCACAAATGGCGTTGCCACTTTAGTAAGATCTTTGAGTACGGGAGTTCAACTTCACATCACCGCACATGGTAAAGGAAAAAAACACAGTTGGTCCCAATGGCAAAACAAAAAAAAAATTGATCAATTATAGTGTTTCGGCTTGTTTGTGAATAATGTGTTAATAAGGTTTATAATAGGAAACATCATTCTAATATACACAAAATATTATAGGAGTTATATAACACATGTTGAAAACTACAAATTGGAGTTATAGGTTGAAACTAAAGTATACTTGAAGTTTTGTATACTGGTTGTCTTTTTGCACCACTTGGCCAACCACTAGGTTTTAGAAATTTAATTTGGAATTTTGGGATTTTTTCAAATTTAGTTTGGTTTCCAAATTATTTTCTTTTCTTTTTTGTAAATTTAAGATTCTTTTGGAATTATTTTATTTTTTTAGAAATTTTTTTTTTTTTTTGTAATTTTAGAAATTTTTAAATTTAAGATTTTTTTGTAAATTTAAGTTCGTTTGTCGTTTTACAAAATTTGAGATTTCACAATTTATTCAACAAAAAATTCAAAACTGAAAC